GCTGATATTTGATTCAGAGGAAAATGTACAAGTTACGAGAATAACCGCTGACATGTCCACAATGGCAAAAATTATCATTACAGGAAGAAATGAATGAACCAATTAGATAGAGTTGTGGTATTTAGATGCGAAGTATGATGAAAATAAACCAAGCCCCAAAAAAACCAAGAGTCCAGACTTATAACCAATATTTGGACAACTGTCAAGTAAAAGAATGGACTGTATTGGTTAGGTTACATGAAATCGAATCCCACCACATCGGCCCTAGCAATTAGCGGAATGGCTTTTCGTGACAAATGAAAGCACAAAATACGAGCTCCAGGAAGTATCAAGAGCTACAGATGTTTATGATAATCTCATACAAGAACATAGGACAATAAATACATTGAGGAAAATGATCGAAGATAAGTAGAAGACAGAAGCTCATTATCTCCGCGCACCATGGAGTCAGAAAAGATTCGAAACCACTCACTACGGTTGTATATAATTGGCAGCGTACGTGCAAATCAAATGTAGCAGTCTTATGACTGTCGATGTCCGACCCTACTAACTGAATAAAGCTTGGAGACGTGCTTATGAAAATACGCACAAACCCCAATGCCTACAACGGCTGATAATTTCCCAAGCTTTCTTAAGAGTAGGACTACAAGAAATAGATAGAGATATACTCGTAATACTTGTGGCCTGAAAATCCACATGATCCTCAAAGCCTGTGAAACTTATCGTTTTCAAATCAGTATTGTTTGGTGCGAACACCTCTTCCATTCTTACCCTAGAAGCTACTCTGAATACTCATTTGAAGAAACTGAAAGTCCCTTCAAAGAAATCTTAAAGAAAAGTTTCTATGTGGACAATCTATCAAGGTACTGTGAATAAAGAGGAGGATTTGAAATCCTTATACAGAGAAGCTAACACAGTAGATGAAAGAAGCAATTATGCCTCTAAGGATGTGGAAATACAATTCAATGCAATTAAGGGAACTTAACAAAGAAGAATTCCCTGAAACTGAAATTCCTGATTGCAACAATATGCAGGGACTTAATGGAACACACAAGAAGATACTTTGAGTCTCAAAGGGATAAACAATAAATCATGCAGTACACTCACTAAACGTAGTTTACTGTCAGAGGTATCACAATGTTTTGATCCTCTAGGGCTCGTCTCACTCAATTCCAAAAAGGGTAAAATACTTATGCAAGATGCATGGAAAGCTCAAAATTGGATGGGATGGAACTGCCTCTAGAATGAGTCAAGCATGGATGAAATATCCAAGGAGTGTAAGCAACTTCATCAAATTAAATTTTCCCCAGACAAATAGGTTCAAGAGGGAAACAAGTACACAATAACATTGTTCTGTGATGCGTCACCAGCGGTTTCTGGCGCTGTAGCTTACATGAGTAATGCTGAAGAAGTACACTAAACTACTTCAAGCAGGGGTAGCACCCTTGAAGGTCAGAACTGTACCACAATTGGAACTGACAGCACTCCTATATAGGTACAAAATTAGTGTCTATCCAACAAGGTCCTGATCCATCTACACTATTGGAAAAACCGGATCCTGAGTGAAATGAGAAGGCAGTTCTACAGTGGTTAATAAATACTAAGAGTAAGATTGGTCTATGTACAGAACAGAGTATCCGAAAATAAAAGAGATGCAAGAATTAAACTCTTTCTCCAACGTCTCTACCCAAGAGAATCCAGTTGACTGTTGTCACTGGTTGTCCCACACAAGAAATTTGTGGCTAATAAATAATGGCTCCACTACCGAACTGGCCTCTCTAATGAAAATAACTGGCCTCAGCAAAAAGCACACATTAATGCCAGAATAAACCAGTCTGCTTGAACACAGCAAAATAATTGTTTAAATACTTGGCAGACACAACAGAAAGAGTCATGTAGGATCTAAATACAGTGGACCCCCGCATAGCAAACGACGCCTTGCATCGCGAACAATTCCCATAGCGAACGCTTTGTTCCCAATTTTTTGCCCCGATAGTGGACAAAAACCCGCTCGAGCGACCTTCGTCCGAGTAAACGCGTCCATTGTATACCACCAGCCTCCGCGGTAACATTCAAGCATACACCGGAATATTTTGTATTATTACAAGTGTTTTCCGGCGCTGTTTATTCTGGAAAATAAGTGACCATGGGGCCCCAAGAAAGCTCTAGTGCCAACCCTGTGGTAAAAAGGGTGAGAATTAGTTATGGAAATTAAGAAAGATTTTGAAGGGTTTGGGGCTAACTCCTGAGAACCTATGGCCAGTTGTGGAATCCATTGTGCCTACTTCAAAAATTAAGGAAATGTGGCACAGTGGTTGAACTGCAAACCTTTATGATGAAAATCACCCTGACACAGACTGTTTGTCGCAAGCCCGGCTGGTGACCTATTTCAATGACAATGTTATGGCCCATTTAAGACAAATCTAAAGAACGGTAGGTACAGAGCTTCTATGGACAGATTTGTTGTGCGACAGAGGTCCAGTGACACTGAAGCTGGTCCTAGAGGCATTAAAAAGAAGAAGGAAGTAACCCCGGAAAAGGACTTGCAACTCAAGTCCTAAAGGAAGAGGGGAATTTCCCCTATCTAAACACTACCACTCTCTCTCCCCTCCTCTCACCCATCCCATCAATCATCACCAATCTGTCATAAAAGTAAGTTCATGTAATTGGCAATGCCTTTTTTCAGTTTGTAGTGTACTAAAATTACATTTTTTTGTGGTAAAAAAAATTTTTTTTTTTCATACTTTTTGGGTGTCTTGCATGGATTAATTTTATTTCCCATTAATTCTTATGGGGAAAATTAATTCTCGCATAGGCGAACATTTCGCATAACGAACCAGCCCCTCGTTGCACGGATAAGTTCGCTAATCGGGGGGTCCACTGTACTCATCATTGGTAAACTCTTAAGAGTTATACAGATCATTGTCTTTAAATCATTAAAGGTGAGATAAAACCTGATTAGAATGACTGAACCCATTAAATCTGGATGAAACTAAATACAGAAAGATGTTTTCTCTACAGAATATAAATTTTCTAGAAACACAAGATAAATCCCCAAAGAAACCTGTCATGATTTAATTCTTTAGGACTTTATCTCAACTCAGAAAAGATTATAAGATGTCGAGGAGAATTCATAATTCTTCACTCCTAAAGAACCATACATCCAATATTGATCCCCTAGAATCATTTGGCTAACAAAACTGATTGTGCAAAACTCCCACAGTAACGTGTTACATGGTGGGTGCTGACACACTTTGTCATATACGCAATCCTACTGATAACGTCAAGGACACAAAGTTGAAAAAGCAAATAAAGACTGTATTACTTTCGTCACTACGATACGCGAGAATGTATATCCATGTCCACCTCCATATCCCTCTGAAAGAGTTGTCATATCACCCATTTGAGGTGACAGGTGTAGATTACGCTGGACCAATAATTTAACCAAAACAGTGACAAAGTTCCCATTCAAGGTGTAGCAACGTATTTGTTCACTGTGCTACACTAGAGCAGTACATCTATAAAGTAGCCACTGACATGTCTTGCTTGAAACCTTTATCAAATTATTCAAAGGTTTTGCAGCAGAAGGTCATGTCCAGCTGATGATTTCAATAATTAGCATACACTCGTTGCTGGTGCAGCTTACATAAGCAAAGATCTTTTGATCAACCAGAAGTACAACAGATGCTGAATCAATGCAGATGTCGTTGGGAGATACATTCCTCCTAAATCTCCATGGCACGGCGGATATTATGACAGAATGATCGGCATTGTAAAACGTTGTTAAAGGAAGACCTCATAGTCAAAGAATCGACTTAGAAGAAAATCCGTACAGTTGTGACTGAAAGATAGAAAATAAGAGTCAACAACAACCTCTACTTATGTTAGCCGAAGATCTGGACAATTTAGAAGTGTTACGTCCATCTCATTACTTCCATGGCAAAGGCTCAACCTGGTTCCCTCCCATGGAATGATAAAGAAAATCAAAAAGAGGATCCTACTTATTTCGAAACCTGACAACTCGAAGTAAATCAAAACCACCTTAATAAAGTGATTGAACATTGGAGAAAATTTGGCCGAGAAGACAATCTCACCTCATAGAGAGAACACTTCTATGGAGCTGGTGTACCTGAAAATCATAAGTCTAAAGACCTGCTGTTGACAAGTGAATATTGAGTACAATGATGGTCGCGAGAGTCCCAATGGCCACATTGGAAAAATTGTGACCAATATCCTGATGCAAATGGAAATCATCAGGACAGATGATGTTTTAAACAAAGGTGTAGTGAATAAGCGGACAATAAATAAACTAGTGCCGTAGAATTACACAGTGTTGAAACAAATTAGTGAATCTCCAGAAACCGCACCAGACTAAAGCAGTTCAGAAAAGACAGCAGCACGTGGTGGCGAGTGATGAAAATCAAATTAATGTTAAGTTGATGAATAGTTCACCTGCAGCGAACCTCCTCCGCCCCCATTGTGGGAGAAATTTACTCCAGAGGGGTTACCAGCCGCCCTTCAGCCCTTTCAGCCGCCTTCAGGGCCCCTTCAGCCCTGAGGGGACAAGCCCTCCATAAGGGCGAGCGTCTTGTTACTGCTACAGTGAGTAAATTGATCACAGATGCAATGCGACGTAGTCAAGTGACCTCTGCTCCTTGCAGCGTGTTGCAAAGATATTTTATAAGAGACAGACATCTCTACTTAGGCAAGGACATTAAGAAAATCCTGCTCCCACTTTAAATTACCATGGTAAAAATAGTGGACATTGTTGTCTATGCTTAAGACAGCAAGAATCAAACATTCTGCTTTGCTTCATCGAGGAAGTGGCAAGGAAGCAAGGAGTACTAGGTCAGCTTTTTTTTGTGCGAGGGCAGTGACGGCTTGGGGCGGTGTGGCGTCCCCCCCCCCACCCCCCCCCCCCGCCAGATTAACTTTGACTCTACTACGAGTGACACTGACGCCAGGATAACCAACAAATAACACTGATCTGTGAAAAAATATCGTTAACCGCTGGTGTAGTGGTATCATGCAAGATTCCCATTCTTGCGACCCGGGTTCGATTCCCGGGCGGCGCACTAAGTTTTGGGTGGCCCGGTGGCCTGGTGGCTAAAGCTCCCGCTTCACACACGGAGGGCCCGGGTTCGATCCCCGGCGGGTGGAAACATTTCGACCAGTTTCCTTACAACCTGATGTCCCTGTTCAAACCCCCCTAGCAGCAAATAGGTTCCAGGGTGTTAGTCCGACTGGTGTGGGTCGTAACATCCTGGGGGACAAGATTAAGGACCCCAATGGAAATAAGTTAGACAGTCCTCGATGACGCACTGACTTTCTTGGGTTATCCTGGGTGGCTAACCCTCCGGGGTTAAAAATCCGAACGAAATCTTTACTTATCTTAACGCGGGGGGTCCACTGTATATATATACAGTGACCCCCGGTTAACGATATTTTTTCCCTCCAGAAGTATGTTCAGGTGCCAGTACTGAACGAATTTGATTCCCATAAGAAATATTGTAAGTAGATTAGTCCATTTCAGACCCCTCCAAACACACAACGTACAAATGCACTTACATAAATACACTTACATAATTGGTCGCATTCAGGTAATCGTTATGCGGGGGTCCACTGTAAATATATTATATATATACATATATATATATATAATAAACATAGATAAATATATATATTATTAACATATATATATATTAAATATATACATATATATATATATATATACATATATATATATAATATATAACATATTATAATATATATATAATATATATAATAAATATATATATAATATAGAATAATTATACATATAATATATAAATAAATAATCAAATAATATATATAATATATATATATATATATATATATATATATAAAATAATTATATAAATATATATAGTATAGTATATAATATATACATATATATACAGAGACCCCCACTTTACGATCAGCTCACCAATGCGACCATTATGTATGTGTATTTATGTAAGTTGTGTTTGTATGTGTCGTTTGGGGGTCTGAAATGGACATAAACTAATCCACAATATTCCTTAATGGGAACAAATTCTTCCAGTACTGTGCATCCCTGAACAAACTTCTTGGGAATGAAATAATATCGTAAACCGGGGATCCACTGTATATATACAGTGGCGTGTAGCACATGCTACATGCCAAGGTATTGTCCAGTGTGGGTAGATTGGTAAAGCACTGCATACCTAGTCCTAGGTTCGTAGGTTCGAGTCTCCTTCAGCCAGAGATCCAGTGTATGTGTAATATTTCGCCTGCTCTCAGCGAATTCCTGCATATATATTTTTTTTTTTATAATCACACTGTCCGATTCCCACCAAGGCCCAGGTGGCCCGAAAAATAAAAACTTTCACCATCATTCACTCCATCACTGTCTTGCCAGAAGGGTGCTTTACACTACAGTTTTTAAACTGCAACATTTACACCCCTCCTTCAGAGTGCAGGCACTGTACTTCCCATCTCCAGGACTTAAAGTCTGGCCTGCCGGTTTCCCTGAACCCCTTCAAAAATGTTACTTTGCTCACACTCAACAGCACGTCAAGTATTAAAAACCATTTGTCTCCATTCACTCCTATCAAACACGCTCACGCATGCCTGCTGGAAGTCCAAGCCCCTCGCACACAAAACCTCCTTTACCCCCTCCCTCCAACCTTTCCTAGGCCGACCCCTACCCCGCCTTCCTTCCACTACAGACTGATACACTCTTGAAGTCATTCTGTTTCGCTCCATTCTCTCTACATTTTCCGAACCACCTCAACAACCCTTCCTCAGCCCTCTGGACAACAGTTATATATATTATATATATATAATATATATTTATATATTTATATATATAATATATATATATATATATATATTTTAATATAATATACACACAGTGGACCCCCGCTTAACGATCCTCCAAATGCGAACCAATTATGTAAGTGTATTTATGTAAGTGCGTTTGTACGTGTAAGTTTGGGGGTCTGAGAAATGACTAATCTACTTCACAATATTCCTTATGGAAAAAATTCGGTCAGTATGGCACCTGAGCATACTACTGGAATGAAAAAAGTTCGTTAACCGGGGAGTCCACTGTATATATATATATATATTTTTTTTTTTTTTTCAACAAGTCGGGCCGTTCTCCCACCGAGGCAGGGTTCAGGGTGACCCAAAAAACAGAAAGAAAATCCCAAAAAGAAAATACTTTCATCATCATTTCAAGACTTTCACCACACTCACAAACCATTATCACTGTCTTTTGCAGAGTGGGACACAGTGGTCAGATACAACAGTTTAGAGATATACGTTATAAAGATAACCAACATATCCCTCCAAACTGCCAATATCCAAACCCCTCTTTAAAGTGAGGCAATGTACTTCCCATTTTCCAGGACTCAAGTCCGGACTAATGAAAATAACCGGTTTCCCTGAATCCCTTCATAAAATATTACCCTCTCCACTCCAACAGATCGTCAGGTCCAGGTATCATTCGTTCTCCATTCACCTCCTATCTAACACGCTCGATGCACGCTTGCTGGAAAGTCCAAGCCCTCGCCCACAAAACCTCCTTAACCCCCTCTTCCAAACCCTTTCGAGACGACCCCTACCCCTCCTTCCTGCCCGTATAGATTTATATGCTTTCCATGTTCATTTACTTTGATACATTTCTCTAATAAAAAAAAAAAAAAAAAAACAAAAAAAAAAAAAAAACGACCAAACCACTTCAACAAACCCCTCTTCTGCCTTGATAATGCTTTTATTAAATCCAACATTTTCTCCTAATTTCCCCATCCGAATTCTCTGCATAATTTACACCACATTTGCCTTAGACAGGACATCTCACTGCCTCCAACGTCTCCTCGCTGCTGCTGCTGCATTTACCAACAAGCTTCACACCCATATAGAGTGTTGGTACTACTATACTGTTCATACATTCCTTCTTTTGCTCCATAGATAAACGCTTTTTTTGACTCCACATATACCTCCAATGCACCACTTCACCTTTTTTCCTGATCACATTCTATGATTAACCTTATCCTTTCTAAATTCATTCCGCGACACGTCAACTCCCAAGTTATCTGAAAAACCATTCACTTCTTCATACTCTTCCCCCCCAATTTGATATCCCAATTTTTCTTTATCTTAAATCATTTGATACCCTCATACCTTACTCTTTTCTATGTTCACTTTCAACTTTCTACTTTACACACATTCTCAATCATCCACTAACCTTTGCAATTTTCTTTGATCTCCCATAAGCCACAGTATCATCAGTCCAAAAAGTAACTGTGTCAATTCCCATTTGGAATTTGATTCCCCATAATTTAACCCCACCCCTCTCCCGAAACACCCTAGCATTTACTTCTTTTACAACCCCATCTATAAATATATTAAACAACCATGGTGACATTACACATCCCTGTCTAAGACCTACTTTTACCGGGAAGTATTTTCCCTCTCTTCTACACACCCTAACCTGAGCCTCACTATCCTCATAAAAACTCTTAATAGCATTTAGTAACTTACCACCTATTCCATATACTTGCAACATCTGCCACATTGCTCCTCTATCCACTCTATCATATGCCTTTTCTAAATCCATAAATGCAATAAAAACTTCCCTACCTTTATCTAAATACTATTCACATATATGCTTCAATGTAAACACTTGATCTACACATCCCCTACCCACTCTGAAGCCTCCCTGCTCATCCGCAATCCTACATTCTGTCTTACCTCTAATTCTTTCAATTATAACCCTACCGTATACTTTTCCTGGTATACTCAGTAAACTTATTCCTCTATAATTTTTACAGTCTCTTTTGTCCCCTTTCCCTTTATATAAAGGGACTATACATGCTCTCCTAGGTACCTTCCCCTCTTTCATACAATTATTAAACAAAAGAACCAACCACTCCAACACTGTATCCCCCCCTGCTTTTAACATTTCTGTCATGATCCCATCAGTTCCAGCTGCTTTACCCCCTTTCATTCTATGTAATGCCTCACGTACCTCCACCACACTTACATTCTGCTCTTCTTCACTCCTAAAAGATGGTATACCTCCCTGGCCAGTGCATGAAATTACCGCCTCCCTTTCTTCCTCAACATTTAAAAGTTCCTCAAAATATTCTCGCCATCTACCTAATACCTCCCTTTCCCCATCTACTAATTCCCCTACTCTGTTTTTAACTGACAAATCCATACTTTCCCTAGGCTTTCTTAACTTGTTTAACTCACTCCAAAAATTTTTCTTATTTTTCATTAAAATTTCTTGACAGTGCTTCTCCCACTCTATCATCTGCTCTCCTTTTGCACTCTCTCACCACTCTCTTCACCTTTCTTTTACTCTCCATATACTCTGCTCTTCTTATAACACTTCTGCTTTGTAAAAACCTCTCATAAGCTACCTTTTTCTCTTTTATCACACCCTTTACTTCATCCATTCCACCAGTCACTCCTCTTTCCTCCTGCCCCCACCCTCCTATAACCACAAACTTCTGCCCCACATTCTAATACTGCATTTTTAAAACTATTCCAACCCTCTTCAAAACCCCCCCCCCCACTACTCATCTTTGCACTAGCCCACCTTTCTGCCAATAGTCGCTTATATCTCACCCGAACTTCCTCCTCCCTTAGTTTATACACTTTCACCTCCCTCTTACTTGTTGTTGCCACCTTCCTCTTTTCCCATCTACCTCTTACTCTAACTGTAGCTACAACTAAATAATGAAACGATATATCAGTTGCCCCTCTATAAACATGTACATCCTGGAGCCTACCCATCAACCTTTTATCCACCAATACATAATCTAACAGACTACTTTCATTACGTGCTACATCATACCTTGTATATTTATTTATCCTCTTTTTCATAAAATATGTATTACTTATTACCAAATTTCTTTCTACACATAGCTCAATTAAAGGCTCCCCATTTACATTTACCCCTGGCACCCCAAATTTAACTACTACTCCCTCCACAACATTTTTACCCACTTTAGCATTGAAATCCCCAACCACCATTACTCTCACGCTTGATTCAAAACTCCCC